TCAGTGGAGTTCAGGCTGAAGATGCTGCAGTTTATTACTGTCAGAGTGTTCATAATATTAACAGTCAGTGGCTGTTCACACAGTGAAAAACAGTCATACAAAAACCTCCAGACAGACTGAACTGAAACTGAACTGGCAGCTGCAGACTGAAACAGTTCACTGAGGACACACACAAAAGTAACTACCCAGAATATTCTAAGTATACCTATATTTTATAATCATTTTACAACCAGAATCAAATATATTAACAAGAGGCTGATGAATCAGTTTCAGTTTATTTTGGTCAAATATTCCATATATTTTTTTATGAATTGTTTTTTTGGTTGATTGTTAATCTTATATACGTTTTATTTGATGTTTGATATTTGGAAATCAATGCGCATATACAGCCTCACATCATCATTTGTAAGCTAATTTGATAACTTCACTTACAAAGAGGTTCTGCAGACTTCTTGGTTTTATCTTGAAGAACCTTTATGTTCCCATGTCTCCGACTTTATTTCTCATTTCTGACAGAAAGTGGTATAAAGTGTTGCTCTATTAAAATCTCTTCTCTTCCATCTCCCTATAAACCCACCTACTATCGCATCCCCTGTGTTTCCATCCACATTGTAGGATGCAAAAGATAACAATGTTGTCTAAAATGGGGAGTAATTATTACTGCAACCCCTCCTGAAATTACAAGTTTGTTTAAGCATTAAAAGGCAGATGTCACCCAAAAGAAGACGCTCAAACTTTCATTAAAACAAAAGAACAGTTTTGCATCAAAGTTTAAAACACAAAGTGTATTGAAATTATCACTATAGTACAGTAAAAAACAAAACAATTGTGAAGTAATACATTTTCCTGTTAACTTGGCAACACACTGAGCAGAGAGGAGGAAACATGCTCCCATGTGGAGGACAGCTCCAGCTGACTGACTCTGTGTTTGCATACGTGTCCTGCCTCTCTGGCCCCAGCACTTAAGAGGTCAGTGTGGATCAGAGTCTGTCCAGACCTTTCAGAGACTCTGACACCCTAGCAGCTCAATGATGATGTCACTGACTCTGCTGCTGACCACCCTGGGGCTCCTCTTTCAGGGTCAGAAACAAGCAGCACTAGATAAGCTCATTTGCTGTAAATATGTGAGAAGTCCTTTAGTTCTAGAGTTAAAATCTCTTTTCTTTCTCCAGGTTCATCAGCAGAAATCACTCTGACTCAGACTCCCGGATCTCAGTCTGTTTCTCCAAGACAAACGCTCTCCATCAAATGTAAATCCAGCAGACTTATAGGAGATGACATCAACTGGTATCTTCAGAAATCAGGAGAAGCTCCAAAGCTTCTGATTTATGATACAACAGCACGTCAGTCTGGAGTTCCAGAGCGTTTTAGAGCAAAAGCAGAGCAGACTGACTTTACTCTGACAATCAGTGGAGTTGAGCCTGAAGATGCAGGAGTTTATTACTGTCAGCAGCATAACAGCTTTCCGTTCACACAGTGAAACAACGTCGTACAAAAACCTCAAAGCTGGAGAGGAACTGAAATCCCTTAACAGATGCCGAGAAAATAACACTGATCTTTAAATGACTGCACACAGTTTAACTTCAAAGATGATAAATGATACATTATTTTAATAACTGGATCCTGCAGCAAGTTAATAAAATTATTTTAGTTTAAATTTGTTTCTTCTTATTTGAATCTCAGGTAATCACAATTGTCAATTA